AGAATTTGTGGTTGTCAGGGGAACTGGGACAGGGAAAATACAAATGAGGCCATAGCATCTTTCCATGGCAGAGTGTAAGGAAGTGAATAGAAACTAATGGGATGCTCAAAGGTCATAGGGCATACTGTAGGCTTTAGAAACACCAAGGATGAAACCAGTTATTGAACGATAAAGGACACTGATGTGTAGAATACAAGAACACCCGAGTCTGCATTGATATGAAAAGAGAAAGGGAAGGAAACAAAGAAGGGAAGGGCCAGTTTTTCTTAGGATAGTATACCAATACACAGCGTGGAAAGAATTTTGACCATCATGCAACAGTGGATTCAGACAAAGTTAATTTTTGTAGTGAGGGACATTGGGCCAAGGGAGGACCTCATGAATGCTCTTAGGTAAACACTCTACCAGTGAGCTATATCCTCAGTGTCAGGCAAAAATGTATCGATCGATTATAAAGCTATAGACAAAACTCTGAGTTTAAAAAGACATATGTGGTTTCAAAGAATTTGCCCATAGGTTTCCGATGAAAGTTGAAGCTTGGCTATGAGTGAATGGAGGAGTCTGTGCCACTCAGAACCTATGCGGTATAGACTTCCAGGGACAGCAGAACGCCAGAGACAGTGGAGTTTAACACAATAGACTAATTCAAGGAAGCTCATAGCTTGTTTCATGTTGTGACAGGATCTCATTCTGTGGTCCAGATAGGCCTGGAACTCAATACGTGGTCCAGACTTCTTCAAACTCAGCAATCCTGTTGCTCCAGCCACTAGAGGTACCTTCCCCCCACCCCCAATGCTTTGGATATTTAGGATATCCGATTTATCAAGCATGACAGAACAGTAATTTTTCCTCAGCCTGTGGGGCTTGTCTTATTGTCTTAAGTTTTTTTCTTTTACAGACCACGTTTTGATTTTAATGAAGTTCGATATATTAATTAATGACCGCTTTCCTGGATCGTGTCTTTGATGATCATTTCTACTTCTAAAGAGTCACTGTTCTCTGCTGCAGATTTTCTGAACCGAGAAACAGAACCTTTGTTTTTGTCTGCGGCTGCGACCGCTGAGCTGAGGTGGCGTTTAGTGACTTGGAGGCGGCCGCACCTGTCCGAGATTCTGGCTGTACGGATCCAGGGTGAAGGTGCTGCAGCCAGGGCGCAGAAAGAACCTTCTAGGACCCCTCCCTGGTGAAGCTGAAGTCCGTGGGTCCCTGCTTTACAGTCAGATGAGCTTAGATAGCCCTTGCCAATGTGAACAAAGACCAGAGTAGGTGTTGACGTTTTCATCTTACAACATTTTAATTGGCATTAGATTTAATCAGACGCAAAAATTTGGGGCCTTTGAGTTGAAGAAACTGCTCCAGAATAGGGGGGTGGGAAATCCCTCGGTTCCCTCAATCTGCCTGAACCTGGTACATGCCTTGGTCACCAGAAGAATCGGTAGAGCGGAAGCTTCTGAAACTGTTTTCTTCCGGCGATCCTGAGCTTTGTTGGGGGTCCCCAAAGGAGCTGCTCCGGTGCAGCTGGAATCTGTCCTTAATAGTGCCTTCCCAAAAAACAGAACCGTTATGAAGAGCACGCTGGGTTTTTTAAAAGATAGGAATTGTGTGTAGCCCTTAGAACGCAGAGGGGGATGTAGCTCAGTGGTAGAGCGCATGCTTCGCATGTATGAGGCCCCGGGTTCGATCCCCGGCATCTCCAACCTTTTTCTCAAAAAAATAATTTTTTTGATCTTTTAAATTCCTTTCTTTTAAATTCCTTTCTTATGAGACTTTTCTTAAGCATTTTATATCCTTATGTTTATTTCGTTTCTGTTTAGCTATCCAAACACTGAAGTCTTCCTAGAGACAGCTCTAAGGTGGTTGTTGGAGAAATCATCCTGTGAGAGCATCCAGAAGGAAGAATGGATGCACAGGCCCACCAAGGGATACACTTAGTAAAAATAAAATAACTTTAACTTATTTTTTGGAAAATAGTGGGGCTAGGGGAGGTACTAATAGCATCTATTGCTAATATTCATTGAGAATTGTACATAGGAATTCAGGGGTCTCCTGAATAGAGAATCTCTCACACACTGGCGGTCCCTAACAGTTACCAATTGATTTTTCTCTCTGCCTTTGGTTTTATTGACTACTTTTTTTTTTTTTTTTAAACAGGACAGCTGATTATTCTCACTGTGAGAGGTCTAGGGAAAAGATGGGCTGTAGGTTCAAGCCCCAGTAATACCACTGTAACAACAAAACACAGCTGTAGAATACGTTGATAGAAACCCTTAAAAGACCTTCACAGAAACCGAACCACCAACCAAAGAACATACAAGGACATAGACCCCTCTTTCCCTCAATATATGCAGCAGACACGGAGCCTGGTCTTCATGTGGGTCCTCCAACAAATGGAGCAGGTGCTTACCGGGACTCTATTGCCTGCCTGTGGATCCTGTCCCCCTAACTGGGCTGTCTTGGCTGGCCTCACTGGGAGAGTTTGTGCCTAGTCTTGCAGTGACTTGAGGTATCAGGGCGAATTGGTACCCAGGGGAGACCTCGCATTACCCCCAGATGAAGGGGAGCGAGGGATGGGGAGAGGGGATGTATCGGGGGAGAGGAGGAGCTGCGATCCAGATGTAAACTGAATAAATGCTATTAATGGATGAAAACAAAGACTGACAGTCCTGAAAATCCAGTTCAGTCTGGATTCTGGACAGCGAGTCACTCATTTTCATGCTCTTGTGGTCTGCGTTGTAACTGTCAGGGAATCAGACTCAAACTCAAGCAGGGAGCTGGAGTTCTGAAACTTAGGTGCATAGAACCTCAAGGTTCATTTTCTTCTGAACATTTTCACATCAGTAAGCCAGGAGTATATCTTCTGCTTTAATTTACTTGTATTTGTCTCTTTGAGACTTGACTAAGAATCACTGATTTCATTGGAAGTCAGCCTAGGCAAGAGGAATGTGAGCATGGCTTTCAAAGTTCACACCAAGTGTCTGCTTCTCTCTGTATTTACTTCATTCACAGTGGCTGTTGTTTTCTTTTTTTTTTTTTTTAAAGCTACAAGAACATAACTGTATAGTGATATTTTCTAAGCAGTCATTCTGAGCATTCGTGTAAAGTTTTATTCAAATAGTCAAACTAATATGCTTTTATTTCTCATACCAGTTAGGGATTTGTTGATTTTGAAGGAAAGTTATATATCTAGTCTAAATTAATTCACTTTTATTTCAGGATAACAAAGAACAAGTTATAAAATATTTCTTGGAAAGGAAAGTCATTGGTTTTGCTGGGTTAAGAGGCATGGCTTACCCGCATGACTGACCATTCATTCACACATGGGGCACATGAGTACCTGAGCAAAAACTAAGTTTATAAGACTAATAATAAAAAACCAGGGAAGACAGTTGAGAAACAACCATGAACCTTGGCCCGTAGACAATCAGTTACATGAAAGCCAAGCTCCCGTTCACCCTTCCCAACGTCCTAAAGCATTGATCTCTACACTGTGTTTTCAACTTGAAACCATCCTTGCCCTTTCTCTCCAATGATTCTCTTGCCATGTGGCTTGTTTTCTCGCACTCACAGGATGTACAGTTTCTGTATTTTTACATGACTGGTTCCTTATCACTCTGATTTCACTTCAGCAGCAGGGAATGGAAGAGGAAGCACAGAGTGCAACCACAGCATCTAGGAGGCAGATGCAGGAGGATCACTGTGACTATAAGGTTGGTCTATAAAGCTACAGAGTGAGAACCTTTCTTAAATAATAAACAAATAAGCAACATCAAAACCAACCGACCGAAGTATAGGCTACAGGGAGAAGGCTCAGTGGGCGAAGTGCTTAACCAGGAGGACCTGAGTTTGAATTTGAAGTCCTTTGGGAAGACGTACCATAAGGTCTTCTGTAACGGCTCTTTCTGTAACACGAGCTTTGCCTTAAACTTGTGGTAATCATCCTGTTTTTTGCCACCGATGCTAAGATTACATGTAAGAGCCACTACAGGCAGCCTAGGATACCTGGTAACTGCCCCAGGTCATGATCTTCCTAGTGAATACGTACAAAAGGAAATGGAAAAGAGTGGTTAATTTAGACCAGTCACTTTTTGTCAAAAAATGTCTAACACTGTAATTAAGCCCTCTTGATAAGGAAAAATAGAAGAGCAACGTTGTCTGGCCTCGGCTTTGTCTTCTTTTCTCTCCTACCATCCTCTTCTGAATCCTTAGTTCTGCCTCAGTTTCCCTTGGCGTTCCTATTCTCCTGGTTTGCTAAAAGGTCTCTGTGTATATGAGGGATTTCCTGAACTCTCCAAGCAGGAATAGGATCCGACTTCCTGAGTGGAAACTTTCCAAAAGTGGAAGACCCACTATGTGTACAGTAAGTAAAACCCAGAGAAAAGGAGCTGAGTCGGCGAGGAAGCGCACCCCTGACTGCATCCCCGTCTCCTCTCAAGAGTCACTGAAGAGTTAGTCTGAGATTTCGAGTTCTGTGGTTTCATTGGCTTCCTTTTGGATAAAGCCTGGAGCGGCGAGGATCGGAGAAGGGGGAGTCGAACATCGTGATTCTTAAAACATTCTCCGTGGCTGAGACGGGGAGCTGGGTTTTATTGTAGAACTCTGTCCTCTAAGGCTCCTATTTTTCATTGTCTTTCGTAGCTTGGGAACAAAATGCCGATATGGAATGGCAACGGCAGGTGAGTGCTTTCTTCCTCTCCGTAATTATAACTAAGACTTGGCAAAGCGTTCCTCATCTTTTCTGGAAGGATCTCTCCTTAGTCCTGAAAGAAGAAAAGAGGATCTCGGACACTTTTTAAACTGAGGTCTCCTAACCTAGACTGTTTATTCCTCTTATTGGGGTGTCTGTGAAAGTGCAGGTTGATTAGAATACCCTTGTAAAAGACTGGTTTTTTTTTTTTCTCTTTTTTTTTTTTTTTTTGACAGATATATAGATGAAAGTAACAAGTCTAGAAAGGATCTTGAATTTTTTAAGGATGAGTAGGAAACACTAATTCCTGAGTGGTGGGGATGTAGCTCAGTGGTAGAGCGCATGCTTAGCATGCATGAGGTCCTGGGTTCGATCCCCAGCATCTCCAGGTTTTTGATGGGGCGTCCGTGGGGAAGGCCGGTAAATTCCTTTTTAGAATTCCAGTTCTCTCTTTAGTCTGCTTCGGGCTAGACCGACGTGGTGATTCCTATTAATTTGTTATTGCTGTTCACAAACGCACAGGTTTAGTTAACTGACTGCATTAGGAGCCGTAGTTGCATCAAACTTGGGGACGCTCTCGTAGTGGCTCCAATATGGGTTCAGGGAAGATGCATATCCGCACCTCTGAATGCGGAGGGGTGATGTTCATTCGCTTCTCCCCACTCCTCACACTGAAAAATCCACCACTTTATAAAAGCTAGTGATTGATTTTGTAGCACTACTGTAAGGGGCTTTGTCTAGTGGGCCCTTTGTCTAGGAGGGTATTCCTCATTTGAACTTTTGCCTCTACTTCCAACTTGCGACACTGATATTAACAAGTAAAAGGAGTTTAGAAAAGTTTTCCAGGGGCTTTATTCTGTCCACTGCCCCACCTCACCCCTTCCCCAACCAAGCCCAGAAAAACCATCATTGCCTCATTCTGCCTGGTTACAGATGAATCAAGAGCTTTTAAACCCCAGGGTGTAGGGGTGGTATAGGGTTACTAGGTTGGAGTATAGATTAGTTGAGTTCTTGAAGAGAACAATAGATACTTGCTCTTTCTTCTGTCTGACTACAGCACTTTGAACAATTATAGTAGGGTCTTGTGCTGAAGCAACTTGGCCCCAAAGGAAAGAAGACATTAAGGTGTGAGTCTTAGGCTGGGCTTGGTAATCCTTCTGGTTAAATCACGTTGTGCTGCCAAGTACTGACCAATATTTTAAGTCTGGGAAATGCAATCCTAAAGTACTAAGGTACTGAGATCCAAAAACACTTTAAATAGTTGACTCAAAAATAGCCACGGCGTTTATCAGCTTTCGAGGGCACAGGCTAAGAGTCCAGAGACCTTTTCTTCATTAGGGCCTGTCATTTCCGTTGAGCTCCATCGTTCTTCTACAGTCTAACCAGAACTTGTCATATACAAGACTTCTACTCTTCAGTTTTAGGGTTTGGGTTTTGTTTTGTTGTTGTTTGGAGTTTTGTTGTTGTTGTTCGCTATTGGTGTTGTTTGTTTTATTGGTGGAGAGGCAGGAGATCAAATCCGGTACATGCTCCAATCTCTCCATCTCTGACCTCTTAGCTATATTCCCAGGTTTCTTTTTACTCTTTATTTTGAATCAAGTTCTCACTAATTTGCTCAGGCTAGCCTTCAACTTTGAGTCAACTCCAAGTACCCGGGAAGACAGCTCTGGCCACCATTCCTGGTTTGGTCACTAGCTCAGGTTGTGGCTCTTCCTTCCCCACCTTTTCACTGCTCGCTTCACCTTCTTTGATGTCACTTCTCAGCTGTCAGCAGAATGCGACTGTGACTGCCAATCATGGTTGTCAATTTGACTGCATATATCTCAACTAAAACACAAACTGTTGGGTACTGCTGGGAGGGATTTTCTTAATCAGATTATCTGAACCATGAAGACCCAAGGCAAATCTGGGTGGCACCTTCTGGTGGTACTCCAGATAAAAGTACTCTAAAGATGGAAACTCTGCTTTGTGCTTGCTTGCCTTCACACTCGCTGGCAAGTCTATCTATCCTGTTGCTGAGCTATTCCTTTGCTGATATTAGAACCAACTTCTTTGGGATTCCAATGTAGACTAAAGACCAGCTCTTCCTCAGGTATCCAGGACTCCAGCACCAGACTGGCATCCAGCCTCATCTCATGAACTGAACAATTACCAGATTTTGGACCTTTCTGACTTGAGAGAGCCATTGTTCACACACACACACACACACACACACACACACACACACACACACACTATCTCTTCTAGTCTTTTAAAGAACCCTTAATATAATGACCAATGTGATCAACAGTTTTATTTGTCCTATCAATGTTTGAAACCATACAAAAAACATCACTCTGCCCACTGGTGATGCTTGGTGTCTGAACCTAGGATTCCAAACAGAACTCCAGGCTGAAAATCCCAGAGCCAGTTTTCCAACCTTCCTCTCCCTGCTTCCAGCTTCCCCACAGATGAACCTGTGCTGCAGGAGCAAATAGAGCTGGACCACAAACTATACCTAAGAGACTCCCAGAGCCAGCCAGTGTCCCCATCCCCCAGTCGCCGAGGCTTAACTACTGACCATCACACACACTGAGCAGACCCGGGACTCCTAGTTCCCATCAGAACTGCAGGCAGGGAATTCTAGAGGTAGTTCACCCTCCTCCACCCACTGTCAATAATTTCACCCACTGCTGAGCCTGAACCTCTTGGAGCCAGACCTTTCCTAAGAGAGCCTTAGAGTGAGTTTTCTTCCCATACCTGCTCATCTCTCACTCACCCCACTCACTAGTCTTGGCTGTCAACTTGACTACATTTGGAATTAATGAAAACCCAAGCAGCTGGGCACTCTGTCCGCCCTGTTCCTCCAGAGAACCCTGAGGAATAGCACTGTATTAGGCCTAGGCATGGTGACACCTGCCATTAATCCCAGCACTCGGGACAGAGGCAGGCAAATCTCTGTGAGTTTAAGGCCAGCGCGGTTTGCAGTCAGAACTATACACTGAGACCATATCTTAAAAACAAACAAACAAAATTAAAAATTCATTCACTGCTATTGTTCCAGCATATAGGCATTTCTCTGGACACCTACTCTTATACCTAGAGCTTGTATTGTATTTCTATCATATCTCTTAATAAATTCTCCTTCTTCACTTCATGAACCAGTCAAAATCCTAGTTTTACCTTAGTGGGGGTAATAAAGGGGGACTCCTATGTGGGCAGTATCAGAAAGTTTTACCTGCAAGTCTCTTCTGTTCTCAGCCTGGCTGAGATACCATTGGCCACTAAAATAGTTACAGACACACAAGCAATCTCTAGAAATATTTTAAAATCAAAGACAGAGAGAAGTGATTAAAAAAAAATGTAAGCTCTCCTCCTCTTCCTTCCCCTCCTCCTCCTCCTCCTCCTCCTTCCCCTTCTCCTCTTCTTCTTCCTCTTCTTCTTCTTCCTCCTTCTCCTCCTCCTCTTCCTACTCCTCCTTCTGTAATAAAAAGTTATATTGATAAGAAGTATCAGAGGCAACAGGAGTGGGAATGAAGTCTGAGATGAAACCCTTTGCTGTTCCAGGACACCCTGAGTTCTTTCACAACTTCCACTCAGGTGAAGCCTGAACGGCCATGGACTCTAACCCTCTGAGACTGTAAGTTCCAAATAAACTTTCTTCTGTAAGTTGTCTTGGTCATGGAAGTCTTAGCACACCAACAGAAAGTAGCTAAGAGAGTTTCCCAGCAAGTCTGTTTTAGAGATGCACACGATGGCACTTGTCTGTTTCCCAGCAAGTCTGTTTTAGAGATGCACACAATGGCACTTGGTCTTCAGCTGCTTCAGACCTCCTTCACCCTTGTACACTTGTTCTTCGGAAGTAGAATTCGGTACAGAAGACCAATTATTAGGTATCGATTTATTGTTTATTTGGGAATTTACTTAGAGCACTGCTTGCACCGTGTATTTGCCAAGCATAACTTCACTTGTTACCTGGGACAGAATGACCTGGAGAAAAAGCCAAAACAATGGGCTGATCACCATATACATGACTGTAAAACCTTGCTTGCTTGCCCACCTCACCTTGTGGTTTTAGAATCTAAAATGAGAGAGCCAGCTGGACCTGGATGGAGGCTTTTTAGGACTGTCCTGGCTTTGGTCCTCCAGGGACATCTCCCCTCTTCCACTCTCTTTGGTGTCAGGGTGCTTATTCCTGAAAGACTCCAACCACATTTCCTCAGCAAGAAACAAAGCGCTCTAGTGTCTGTCCAGCTCTCAGATGCTGTTTGAGCAGCTAAATTATTCACACACGAAAGAATAAAATTAGATCTCATGTCATCAGTAAAAATGAACTTAAAACGAACCAGAGACCTACATTCAAGAGTTAGAGATTATTGATAGTCTAGAGATGCTTGGAAGTTACACATAAAGCTGTATATTAATAATATACATTGTGTACAATACTCGAGCGCCTGCTGATTTTTGGCACCGGCCGAGTCTTGGAACCAACCCCTCTGTAAAACACTAAGCATTGCATTCAGCTTCTCCAGGACTTAGCTTCTCCAAGAAAGAGTCCGTGGGGAGCAACCACAAAAATGAGGAAAGCAGAGCAGGTAAGGAGCAGTTCTGGGACTCCTGACGCCTTCCCAAGGCAGTAGGTGACCTAATCCTAACCCAGGTCTTGCTACTCATCTCAATACCTTCCTAAGAGTCACAGGACAGCTATGGACACTAGGGTTTGCATCTTAGAAACATGGAGCGAGCGCCAGCAGAAAGGCCTCCCGCTCTGCAGCCCTTTGCAATTGAGTCAACTCTGTTTGAAAACAAAGCGATGGGTTTTGTTTTTCGGTACTCAAAAGTACGATTTTCTGTTCTGCCAGTAATGCCATTGATTTTAGTAAAACTTGTGACTAGCATGTTTTGAGACTAGCGCTTAATGAACATCCACGCGCTGGTGATTTGAATTACCACTACTGGAAACAGGTCCAGCGTCTCTCTGAGCAATAGTTCTCACGGAATCCCTTCGGGTCCCTGGCTTCTTCGCTTTCGGAGACTCGCTCGGTGCATTTTCCAAATAGCCGAGTGTGTTCAAGTGTTGTTGGCCTGAGAGGGGTCCTTTTGTTTTGGCTACAGTGTCTGTCTATCTGAACCATACATGCACAATAACTCTAAATAACATAACGTCTCACCTAGTCAATTCCAATTTGATCCAAAACTAGAGGGGGCCTATCAAGTGGCTCCGTGGCTTAGTTGGCTAAAGCGCCTGTCTCGTAAACAGGAGATCCTGGGTTCGAGTCCCAGTGGGGCCTGACCTTGCCTTTTTTTTTTCTTTTTTCGTTTTTTGAAACCAGCCCATTCTAACAAATTCTTAGCTTGAAATCACTTTTAGTTCTATTATTTGGAAGTTCAGTATCTGATCACTATTCC